ACAGCTGTCGGGTTATTTAATTGGAGAAAAATAAAACTAATTAATAATAATAATTATAATAATAATAATAATATACTAATGTATACAGAGGTGGTAGTAGTAATGATCATCCTCATCAGCAGCAGCAGCAACAGCCGCAACATTACCAGCCACAAGTTCAGTCCTACGCCACTCCAAACATTGCCTGCTCACCACTTTCGGTTTGTCGAGATGATGATGATGATGGGGAAGATGATGATGAATGAGGATGATGACGGCTATGGTGATTTTTGGGATGATGGTATTGATGATGATGTTGATGATGATGATGGGGAAGATGATGATGACGCCGACGAGGAATGATGATAATGATGGTTATGATGATTATTGTGATGATGATGTTTTTGATGATGATGATGATGATGATGGCGATGGTAATCATCTATCATCATTGGTGCAAGTTATTTATGAGGACGTTTAGTTATAATTATGAGCCTATAGGATGTTGATTGCTGTCAGAAAAGTTATTACACATTATCGTTATTCTTATAAATTATTTCCCTACTCTCTCCCTCTTTCTCTCTTTTTCTCTCTCTTTCTCTCTCTCTCTCTCCCTCTCTCTCTTTCTTTTTACGTCTTTATCTTTCTCTCTCTCTTTCTCCCTCTCTCTACCTCCTTTTCTATATGTATATATTCATCTGTTTTTTATAAGAAATAGAGTATTTCTATTATAACGCTCTTTCACTAGTGAACACAGCTGTATCGTAACTATTGTGATTCTTGTGGCTTTTGCCAGTAAACACACACACACACGTGCGCACGTGCGTACATACGTACATATTACACACACGCGCGCGCACACACGCGCGCACATATACGCACATACACGCACACACAAACACAGATACACATTTTAATTTGTACAGATCATAAATCTAACTCCAAAACCGTTTTACAGCAAGACGACCTCAGTTACTACAGACCTCAAATTTGGGTTCGTTATCGAATTGTATATTTTCACTCATTATTATTAATTATTATTATTTATTATTATTATTATTATTACCATTATTACCATATTTAGTAATAATATAATTATTATTAATAATAATACTATTACAATTAATATTATTATTATTGAATTTCTTAGATCCCAGCCAGTTGAAGGTTTGTATCCATTTAATATCATCAATGATTATAAAGACCTGTAATTTTATTGGAGTAATAATAATAATAATAATAATTATTATTATTGTTATTATTATTTATGGCAGTAAATTTTTAGGAAAGAAAGAGAAAGATTGAGAGAATGAAAGAGAGAAAGAAAGGTCGAAAAAGAGAGAGGGGGAGAGAGAAAGAAGGAGAAAGGGAAAAACGAGCAATGGTGAAAAATTAATAGTGCATCTAGAATAAAATATGAGATTGAGAGAGTGAGAGAGAAAAAAAATGAGTGAGTGAGTGAGTGAGTGAGTGAGTGAGTGAGTGAGTGTGTGAGTGAGTGAGTGAGTGAGTGAGTGAGTGGGTTTGGGTAGGTGAGTGAATAATAACAAAAAACACAACACTTCATATCAAATAATAAAACACAAGCATGTAGGTTATAATGTTACTATGCGTGTGCGTGTGCCCTTTTAAAATGGTATTTTTATTAATTATTATTAAATTGTTTGGAAAAAGTTTTATTTGCTTGTTCGTTCGTTCGTTCGTTCGTTCGTTCGTTCGTTCGTTCGTTCGTTTGTTTGTTTGTTTCAATCTAACAACAATATGCATGCATTGGTTTTTCCCTAAAACGATAACATCACTACTATTGTCGTTATACTTCTCTACTTAACCCGTTTAGCTAACATCAACAACAACGACGATAACATCAACAACAACAACAATAACGATAATAATAACGATACGGCTAACAACAATTTCGAAATTATCGATACTCTCAATAACGAGACCGCTATGAAACCGATAAAGCCAAAACCGTCTATACCGAGTGCCAGACCATCAACATCATCATCATCATCATTGTCATCAACAACAACAAAATTATCATCGTCAACAACAACATCATCATCATCGTCAACAACAACAGCAACAACAACAAAAGCATCAATAGCAACCAAACAACAATCATTTTCTAAACCACAGCCGCCTCTAGCAAAACCGAGGATAACAACTAAGCCACAACTTGTAGCTGCTACAGCCACTTCTACTACCGCTGCTACTACTACTACTGCTACTACTACTAGTACTACTACTACTAACGATTTGCATGGCGTTTTTAACGTTACAATTAACAATAACAGCCAACAGACACACAAATTAAAATCACAATCCTCCATTGAGAAGAGTAAGGGTAAAAATGTTTCCCTGGGTGCTAAAATGTTCAGCGCTAGAAAAAGTTCAATAGCCGACGATGATGACGATGTCGACCGGATTAAGATTAGTGATGACGTCAGTATAGTTGCTGACGTCACGGCCCGCGGTGGTGATGATGATGATGGTGGTGGTGATGATAAAATATCGTCGTCATCATCGCCGTTCAAAGATGGAGTTGCTAAGGAAACTCATTCAGGGTGATGATGATGATGACGACGATGATGGTGATGATGATGATTTATCAATTAATTAATTAATTAATTAAAAACATTTTATCTTTAGTCTATGTTTGTTTTTCATTAGATAAACCAGCACCTTGGTCTAGGTAATGATAATAATGATAATAATAATAATAAATAAAATTATAATAATTATAGTAATAATATTTACCTGTTTGTGTGTGTGTGTTTGCTTAGGTTTACCGTGAGGATGCATGTTTTGTATATTTTTGTGCGTGCCTCTGTTTGTTTGTATGTTTGTTTGTTGGTTTTAGTTTATGTGTGTTTGTTTGTATGTTTGTTTGTCCATGTTTGTTGGTTCGTTTGTTTGTTTGTTCATCCGTTCGCTAACGAGTGTTAACAGTTCATTAACTAACAATATTAATTAACTTTTCTTATCAGTTAAGACGCCATTCTAATTTCCGTTGTTATTATTTTTGCGTTATTATTGTTGTTATTATTATCTGATACGTTATTATGTTAATTAGAATTGTTAATTTATTAATTTATGTAGAAACGATGCGATGATACAAATAGCCGCGCCCAGAAAATCAATAAAACTACCCTCACGTCAGTCTAACGATACGAGGTGTGCTGGCTGCTGACCCACTAATTATAATATTCATAATTCATTATGCTAATTTGTCCAAATTTATGTTAATTAGCTTGTTTTCGTAAATTTTTGACATTAACGCTGTTTTAAGTTTGTTTTACTCTATGTTTTATTGTTATTAATAACACAATTTATTTTGTGTGTGCGTGTGTGTGTGTTTGTATGCGTGTGTGTGTTTGTTTGTATGCGTGTGTGTGTTTATACTACTAACCAACCATTTTTTACTAACGAAATTATACTAAATTACTCACTTAGCTCAAAGATAGTAACTGATACACATAAATGTACAACATCTAAAACGGAAGGTAGTAGAGTAATTAGTAATCTTGCTGGTGGTGATGCTGCTACTACAGCTACTGCTGCTGTTACTGCTGCCGCTACTGCTGCTGCTACTACTGGTGCTACTTCTACTGATAATGTAAGTAACAACAACAATGGCAATAATATCACCGAATGCGATAATGACGTCATCGTTGTTGTTGAGCAGCCTGACCGGAAAAAGATCGTTGTTAATAGGGAACGCGTGTCTAAGCTTGCGGACGGTTCTGATCTGCAGCAGCAGCAGCCGCGTCAACAGCCACAACAACAACTACAACATCAGCAGCAACAAAAAAACATTCCAGATGAAATTATCATCGAAAAAGAAGCCGCCAAAATAACAATAACGCCAAGAAGTAAAAGAGACAATAACATCGCGACAACTACACAACAACAGCATCAGCAGCTGTTGCAGCAGCCACAACAACATGCAAACACCGGCCGCAGTGTTTTTGAAGAAAATTTAAAAGAAATTAACTCGAACGAAGACGAAATTATAGTCGGCGAGGGTAAAAAGCAGATAATAATTGTTCAGAGAACTTCAAAAGAAGATTCTAGAGAGAGTTTTGGCGACAAGACGAATGAGGATGACGTCATTGCTGCTGCTGCTGCTTACGATGGTGGTAGTAGTGGTAACGCTGGGGTTGGGGGTGTCAATGAGTTAGTCGAATGGGTTTTTTTTCACCTATTTGTTGTTATTGTTGGTGGTGTTGATTTGTTGATGTAGTTGTTGATGTAGTTGTTGATGTAGTTGTTGTTTTAGTTGTTGATGTAGTTGTTGATGTAGTTGTTGTTGTTGAATAACCATAGGTGCATGTGTTTTTCACTAATTTTGGTTGTTGTTTCTTGGTTGGCTGTTTTCATTCTCTCTAATCTTTAAGAGAAACTTTCCAGCTAGTCTAACAAAAACTTGGTTTATTCATGATTCATTCTTATCATCACCATCATCATCATCATTGTTGATGTCATCATCATCATCATCATTAAAATCGACGCGAATATCATCATTGTCATCATTTTCGCTATCATTATCATCTTCATCGTCGTCGTCGTCGTCATCATCACAATAACAAGAACGCCGGCAGAGTTGTATGGAACTCCATACCAGTATCAGCAATACCAGCCGCCACATCACCAGCAGCTACCTCATCAGCCACAGCAGCCACAGTTCAACTCACCTCGGAACGTTGGTGTCTGGAAGCCACATGTGCCAGCCGGTTGGTTGGTTGGTTGGTTGGCTGGATGGATGGATGGCTAACTGGTTGGATGGATGGATGGATGGATGGATGGATGGATGGATGGATGGATGGCTGATTAATTTTTTATTAAGTGATTGAGTGATTGATTTGTATAGGAGAGAGAAAGATTAAAGTGGGAAGGGCAGGGCAGGCAGAACGAAAGCAGGCAATCATCGGCGGGGCCAGGGTTCCTATTTGCACCTCCTGCCATATTTCTATCAGGTGATGATGATGGCGATGATGATGATGATGTCGACGTCACAAAATACGTTCCAGAGCAATATTTAAATAGTTCTAAGTAAATGCTGAACTCTGATTGACGCCGATCATTCGTTCAACCGACCAACCAGAGGGCCATTTATTGCGGCCCTGGACAAGACCTGGTGCCCCGATCACTTCGTCTGCGCCAACCCAGCCTGTGCCGTGCCCCTGATCAACTGCGGATTCGTTGAGGAGGCTGACCAATTATATTGCGAGAATGATTTCGAAAAGTATTTGGCGCCAAAATGTGCCAAATGCTCTCGGGCTATCGTCGGGGTAGGTAGTGATGGTGGTGGTGATGATGATGGTGGTGGTGATGGTGGTGATGGTGGTAATGGTGATGATGTAGATGATGATGATTATGAATGTTGCACTGTTGAATATGATGATTGCAATAATATTAATTATAATATAATATTAATGATAATTATTATTACTATTATTATAAACAATAATAATGAAGACGATCATAAATTGTTTTGAAGTAACTCTTCATATAATAAGATTCATACATAAATACATACATACATACATGCATACATACATACATGCTTACATACATACATACATACATACATACACACACACATACATACATACACACACACACACACACACTTCTAAAAAGCTCTTGATCATAAGTGTGTATACACCTTTATAATCTTATTTTAATTTACCGTAATAACGATGATAATTATTATTGTTATTATTATTATAATAATAATTATGTTTTTTTATTATTATTATTTCAAAAAAAAACATTTTTTCCACAAAACCAAAAACGAAAAACCAAGGAATCGGCAATAGCATTAAACTTAAATTTCCACTTGGACTGCTTCATATGCCACACCTGCCAAACTATAATACCCAAATACCTTTTTAAATACCATTACGGACGTTTTTATTGTCAGAAAGGTATTATTTATTCGTGGTATGAGTTGATCGCTTGTGTGTGTGTATGTGTGTGTGTGTGTGTGTATGTGTGTGTGTATGTGTGTGTGTATGTTTGTGTATGTGTGTGTGTGTGTGTGTGTGTTTGTGTGTGTTATAATTTTCACAGTAATATTCTATCTAGCCAAGATTATTATTATGTTGATTGTATTTTCATCTTCATACTTATGTCAACTTCGATTTTTAGATTAATTTCTTATTTAATTATTATTAGCTTGTATGCTCTAAAATATCTTCATTTTTTTATTATTATTATTTATTGTTATATTTATTTATTTCATTATTTTGTTTCAAAAATATTTGATCATTTTTATACTATTTATGAGTTCTCAATCACTCCGCATCAGTTTTTTTTCTGCTGTTTTCTTTAAATTCGTCATCATTATTATTATTTTTCGTTTTTTTTCAGATATATTTCAGACATAATTATACACTTTCAAACATGAACTGTATAGACAATACACAACACACGCACGCACATACACATACACACACGCACATACACACACGCACACGCACGCACACACATACACACGCACACATACACACACTTGCGTTTTGTTTCTTTCACAGTTTCACAGTTAAACTCCTGTATTGATTCGTTAATTTTTATTCGATCAATTGTAGTTGGCTAATCTGAAAATTAATCTGCAAATTTTTGTCTCACGAAGCCCTAATTTACATGTTTTCGAAGATAATTCTTTCTCTTAACAAGTACTCCAGCATAATTCTACATAATTCTACCTCCATTTCTTAAAAAAATCCAAATCTACATAAAAATTTAGGAAGTAGTAAACGCCTTGAGGAACACTTACCACATGCATTGTTTCGTTTGTGTCGCTTGTGGCCAGCCAATCGGTAGTGGGAGCTTCCATAACGAAGACGGAAAGATTTATTGTATCAAAGGTGCTTTTTAAGAGGCCGTTTGATGTTTTAAAGGTTTTTTTTAGATCCCTAACGAACTTTTCTTTACTAATGGTACTTTTGTGTGCTGAAATCTCTTCTACTGAATAAGTTTGCCAAGTTAGACTGCACGTAATGTTTTTCCGTAGTTGAATTTTGAAATTCATGCGGTCTGTGTTTTTAGTAATAATATTTTGGTTGTTTTTGTTGTTTTTTGTTCTACCATTTTGTCTGTTTGTATCTGTGTTTGTATGTATGTATGTTTGTTTGTTTGTTTGTGTGTGTGCGCTCTGTGTTTTAACATACGTAAAGAAATGCTTCGGCAATCATGTGATGTCAATTGATTGTGCGGTAAAAAACAACACAGTAAACATCTTTAATGATACTAGATATTTTCATTAATTTAGAATTACTGCTACGACTAATGATACTAATTATCGTGGTTAATGTCGTTTATTTGTCATCTTTTAATTAAATTAAATTAGCTTCAATTATATTTCGATTTTATTCCAGTTAATTTAGCTTATTATATATATCTTTATTGGTTCGTTTGTCTTATTGTTTTTTAAAAATTATGTTTTGTGGTATAATGCTTCGTTAACATAACACAACACAGTTGGTAATACATAGCGCTATTTGCATGCTAGAGCCAATCAGTTTCACATTTAGTTAACCTAGTCAGTTGGGCTGTTTGTAATCATAATTCCGAGTTGATTCAAATTTTTAAAAAAGTATAACTATCATTTCTGCAGTTGAATAAAAAAGGTGTAAATAATAATAATAATTATTATTATTTTAATAATTATTAACTCTATTAATTATAATCTTTTATTAATTATTAATTCTATTAATTATAATCTCAGTTAACCTAGTCAGTTGGGTTGTTTGTAATCAAAATTCCGAGTTGATTCAAATTTAAAAAAAATTTTACTATCATTTCTACTGTTGAATAAAAAAAAGTATAAATAATAATTATTATTATTATATTAATTATTAATTATTGTTACTATAATTCTCAATTCGTATTGATACGTAATTATTTTCACTCCTTAGATTGGGGTAAACTTTTCCAGACGAAATGCTACGGCTGTCAGTTCCCCATCGAGCCTGGAGATAAGTGGGTGGAAGCTCTATCACAGAATTGGCACTCTGAATGTTTCAACTGCTCGGTAAAAATATTATTTTATTGTTATTGTTGTTGCTGCTGTTGTTGTTAGTATGTAGTGTTGTGTACGATCGAAATTTACTACAGAATTCTTTACAATTTCATTACAAGTTTTACATTGCCTTTACAGTTTTTAAACATTTCAAACATTTTAGTGTATTCTTTACACAACTCTTTACAGTTGCTTACATTCTTTACATGATTTCATTTACAACGACAGACGTGTCAGATGAACCTGGAAGGCCAGCCGTTCTGTGCCAAGAATGGGAAACCCTACTGCAAGAAACATGGAGCAACACGCAATTTCTAGCGTGTGCGTGTGCGCGCGCGTGTGTGTATGTGAAAGAAAAAGTGAGAGAGAGAGAGAGAGAAAGAGAGAGAAGAATAGAAAGGGAAAAAAAGAGAGAGAGAAAAGTGATTGAAAGTGTAGTACAATGAATGTATGTGAATAAATGAATATGTGTGCGTGTGATTGTATGTGTGTGTGTGTGTTGTGCGAGAGATAGAGAGAAAAATGAATTAACTAGATGAATTAATAGAAAGAAAGATTGAAATAAAAGAAGAATGAAGCAATGAATTTAAGATAGATGGAATTGTTGAACGTACTTCATAAAGAAATGAGATTAAGATGGAAAGAGGGTAAGAACTCGATGAAAGAATAAAAAAACAACTGAATGAAAATATTGATAACATTGTTAACATAACAACGAGCTAACGATATTAATTGGTAGAAATATTTTACATCGCGATTGACCTTATTGAATTCAGCTTAAAATACTATCCAAGATTTAGAAAGAATAAAAATGCGTGTGGATACATTTTAACCCTGCTTTCATATTTTGTTTCTCATTGGAGTACTTCATTTTTTTTTAATGAAATATTTTTTTCTTTCGTTTTCGCGTGTGTTAACATGGAAATTAGTTTATATATTTCCGTTTTTTATTAATTATCTTCAGAAATATTCATTATTAGTTGTAATAATTTATGCTAATTATGCTAATGACCCGTTTAATATCTATAATTGATTTTATTTATGATAGTTAATCTGCGTTAATGGCTTTGATTGGCATCAATTATGGTTATAAATTCTGTCTACTAATCTCATTTATTATGATAATTATTGACGATAATTAACCATTATTTTAATTAATTAATTAATCGTGATTAACATTAATAATTAAATAATTCTCATGATTTCAATAAATAATCTCATTTCTGTGCAACATTTTTGATTCATTGATTTCAATAAAATGCTTAAAGGATACGACTTTAAAAGTATATAAAGAATGAATGAAATATAGATAGGAAGAAAGAGACAAAATTTGGAGAAAGACTGATAGAAACGAATAGAAGATTATGAGGAATTGAACTATCGATCGGTGTTGGATTGACTATCCGAACTTAATCGATGCGGTTTTAAACTGTACATCAGGGTGTAACTGATAAGATAAAATAAATTATTCGGTCGGTAATTGTACATCTTAATTATTATTGTTTTTATATTTAAAAGTTCAAATTAATTATTTTGATTGAAATAATATGAAAAATATAATTTCAATACAGTTTATTCCTGAATGACTACGTGTAGAAATATTATTATGGCTAAACGTATATGGCGTGTGTGTTTGTGTGATTTATTTCTGCTTGTGTGTGTGTGTTGTGTGTGCGTGTGTGTGGTGTGTGTGTGTGTGTGTGTGTTAAACTTTTGCAGAATGTCGATAAAGTATCACAAAATATCACAGTGAGAAAATTGATGATAAATAAATTAGACTAGATAAGTAGATATCTAGATACTACTTTGCTTATACAATATTTAATTCAATGTACGTGCATGTCTGCTTGTGTGTGCGTGCGTGTGTTACATTCCTACAAATTTAATGTGAAACAAGTTTTAAATGCCTAAAAATGTATAACAAAGTGATAGAAATTATGTAAAAATGGCAACATAAATGGAAACAATTTGCTTTGGCAAGAATGACTAGAATTGAAATATATATCAAAAATCAATCAAAATGGAACAAATAAATTGAGAATTTAAAAAAAATCATTAAATTTTTCAAGTTCTTGCATAAAACTGAAGAAATATACAAATACATTGTAGATAAAAAAAATCTTACTCTTCTGAAAAAAGTAAATGTGTAATATATTATGCATTCGTTCATTCATTAACTCATTCCTCTATTCATTTATTCATTCATTCAATCATTCATTTATCCATTCACTCATTCAGTAAATTTCAGAAAAAGTGAATTTGTAATATATTATGCATTCATTCATTCATTCATTAACTCATTCATCTATTCATTTGTTCATTCATTCAATTATTCATCTATCCATTCACTCAGTCAGCTATCTATCCATCCATTCATTCATCCATCCATCCATCCATTCATTCATCCATTCATTCATTCATCTATTCATTCATCCATTCATTGAGATTAAACTGCAAAACTTTCCTCATAAAATTTCTCTGAGGGCCGATGAAATTTCAAGAATTTCTTTCATAGAGACATCCTTCTTGATCAGGTAGCCAAAAAATGATTCAGGGGCCTCTTGCAATAACTTCGCAAATTCAATCACGTGCTTGCCTTCGAATTTATCAAATCTGTGGAAAAAAATTCACATTTTTTGATAAATATTGTTGTTTTTGTTTTTATTTATTCATTCTTCTGTTCATTCATTCATTTAGTCATCCATTTATCATTCACTCATCCACTCACTCACTCATTCACTCACTAATTCACTCATTCACTCACTCACTCATTCACTCACTAATTCACTCATTCACTCACTCACTAATTCACTCACATGATTTTAGCCTTGATGAATTTTTTCTTGGCTATCCACTTCGTGACGTCGTCAACGGTCCAGTTTACATAGGAGGACGTATTTGCATTGCTCGCCGTGTTGCTGCTGCTGCCGCCACTACTACGACCACTGTTACTCTTATTATTGTTGTTTTCGTTGTTATTGTTGTTGTTGTTATTGTTGTTGTTGATGTTGTTGTTGTCGGTGATGACGTTTTCATTTGTTTTGCCGACTGTTTCTGCTTCAGCTGGCACGTGATTTGTTTGAAATAACGCATAATTAATTGATTCCAACGGTTATTTATAAATAAATCAATACCATCAGCATGTCAAAATCTGATTTTCTAAAGATCAATAATTAGAATAAAAATAAATTTTAATCCATTTAAAATTCAAAAATAACTTTTTTATATCACATTTAACTGACTTACTTTTTGTAACAGTGGGAGCAGTTACAGTTCCGGATTCCTCCGCTCCTTGGGATAGTTCCTTGATCAGGTGTTTTATGGAATCTTCATATTTCGTCTGCTGACTGACATCGAAAACCAACTTGCTCCCAACTAAGATGCCCAGCCAGCCGTCCGGATAGTATCCGGTTTGCAGTCGTAACGGGATCACTTTTTTCCGTAGTCTAAATGTGTATTCGGCTTCTGTTTGTTGAAGAATTAATTTGGGATTTGTGGGATAGATTTTATTGAAAAGTTAGTTTAATTTCGTTTAATTTTAATATAGAAAAGAAATCAAATCAAAACATTATTTTATTTTAAAGATTCTACAAAGTTATCAAATTAGCAACAAATTGTTCTGATTTGACACGCAACGAACCAGTTCTACAGTTCGGACTGTCCTTGTACTTTTGAGACAAGCAGATGATGACCGTGTGAGCCTTCTCCACAGCCATCGCCATGGCTTCCAGCACAGATCCAGCTATGTGCACATGAAAAAAAGTATTTTGTTTGAAATGTTTAGCTTATTAAAAAGTTGAGAACATCTATAAACTAAATGTCAGCCGCATGATGTAAAACGAAACTAGCTAACAGTGCTGGGCACCATTGAACACTACATCAGCGTGCTGTCCAATGTTTTAAGAAGACCTGTTATGAGCTTAACAGAGCTTCGAAAAATACGTGAGAATAAAAAAATTCGAATCAAAATCAAATAAAAAGCAAATTTTGCACAAAATCAAAACAAATTTCAAGCTGCTGTAATATTTCAAATGTAGAATTGCACATGAATAAGGGCAAAAGTACAAAGAACAACAGTAAAACGATACTAACACATATCATCTTCGTCCAGCCAGGTTTTGAACCCGGCATTCTTTAGTCGATCTCTGACTTGCAGTACTGTAGTCTTTGAATCCCACTGGTAGCTGATGAATATGTGGCCGCTGTCTTTTGCGGCGGTTGTGGCGGTGTTTGCTGCTGCCGAGTCTGCTGCTGCAGCTGTCGGGAGGTTACCGCTGGTTACTGCTTCTTTCACTGAAAATGATGAAAAGTTTTTTTTATTTATTTATACGTGAAAAATCTAAAAAATTTAACAAAACTGTTTTTCAAATGTAATCGTAAAATTTTGAAAAAGTATTTTGAAAAAGAAAATTGTTACATTTGTTAGTTAATTTATCCTGCTTCTCCAGGATCCAGAGAGCTCCTTCAGCTTTCTCTTTCACGATTGGATCGCTGTGACTCGTTAGTTTCTTTAGAGCTTGAAACATTGATAAAATTGTTTTAGTATTCACGAAAATTGAAATATAGATATTCCAAAAGTTGATTTAAAGATTTATAGAGCTGAAATGAAACGCAGTACTAACTGCTGATACAGTCGGGCTCTTTAATGATGTCATCTTTGCATTTGAACCCGAGTAACCAGAGACCACGTGCCGCTTCAGCGATGACGTCATTGCCCCAATTTTTACCTCCCTTCATCAACTGGACGTAATAGGGCAAGCCCCCTGCCTCTATGATTCGCTTTTTGTTGCCATCGTTGACTGCAAGTTTGTTGAGGACTTCGATAACCTCGATGACTGCGAATCTCAGGGTGTGGAAGGATTCGTTGCGGATCGTCGTCTCCAAGATGCGAATCAGAAATTGGAAACTTTCCAGACCGGAGTTTATTTTCTCGTTATCCTTCTCGCTTATTATGTACGCCTGTTATGTAATTACATTTGGAAAACCAACCAATCATTATGAATAGCGTTGTCAAGTTAGATAGAACAGAGTTAACTGTAGAAAATAAAAACAATACACGAACTAAATCGTTTGAAGTTTTTAAATGTACCACCATGAATAACGATCAGAGAAAGGTTACTTCAGCAACTCACTTGAACCATGAGAGCCACAGAAGCGATCATCTGGTTCTTGCAATCCCTGAAAGGTTGCAGTATCTCAACAGCCTGGGCCACCCTCATGTCTTCATATGACGTCAGAACTTTTTGCACGAAGTTATGCAGGCAGCCAATGATCGGCTGGACTGCAGTTCGTGGTTTTTCCTCCATCATTTTATCCGGACTGATCTCTGGTGCTTTCAGATACGACAACAAGTCGATGTAGAATTTCGATTTGTAAATTTCAACGCAGAACTGTTGCGATTTGTCGCTGAGAGACCAAATTAGCATCAGGAGACCAAGCATGCTAGGCCACAAATAGCCATCGGAAGATAGAGATTCTATGAAGTGGTTTTTCATCAACTTTTGAAAAATTTTAACAAAATTTATACTAGTTAGGTAATTTCCTAGTCTGGTACAACGCTCTTTCTCCGAACATGTGTCCAAGATTGTAATCAAGGTTGCTACATACTGGTACGTTGAATCGTCCAATCTCTGGGCGTCTACTAATTTCTGAATGACCGATTTTGTTTTTCTATAAATCTGCTCGTCATCCATATTTGAAATTTCACTGTCAGACTCTTCATCTTCCTCTGATTCATTTTCGTCGTCGTCGTCGTCTTTGGTTTCTCTTCTAGTTATGGGGGGAAGCGGCGTGTAAATCCTTCCGAAATTCATTTTTAATATTTATCTTTCGACGCTATTTCTATGCTAAACAACTGTATTTTTTTGAATTTTTTAAAAATTTATATAGACATTAAACGATATCTATATTATATTATATTATATAACTATATTAAACTAAATTAAATCTATTACTACTTATTCTTCTTTTCTGTTAAAAACTTAATATCCCAAAAGGCGCCTATGTCTTTATTGCCAGCGAATCAGCAAAACCTATATAATTTTTGAAGTTATTTTAAGATGAACTTATATTCACTATAGCCAAGATAATGTTTGTATATAGTGTATAAATAGAAAAAGAGAAAGAGAGAGAGAGAGTAATAATAAAGGTGTAAGTTCTGTTTGCACGCATTACCACGGTGATTTTCAGGTGTATAGATTTCTAGATAGTCACATTAGCACACGTTTTGGTGAATAATTAATATGGTAAAATTGTTTGTAATTACGTTAAAAAATAAAAATCTAGTGCTTTATGCTTTGATTTTATTATTAATTAGTTTATTTTTTATTTTTAATATTACTTATTATTAAAAATTTGAATGATGCATGTACGACAAATCAATATCCAATATTCGGTCAACTTTTCCATGTCATGTTACATCGAGGTCTCATCTTATTTAATCAACGACAATGAAATCTTCGAGAGAAGAAATAATTTCTCTTGAGATGGCAACAAGATTTATGAGCTTTCATCATATCAGAACACGCCAGACACTGAAACCACTTCACCGTATGACTATCGTAAAAATGTGTTGAACGGTTAACCCGTCAAATAAAAAAAAAACCGTACAATAAATTCACCTGTTTTGAGATAGATAACTTACTTTAATCATAACATACGTCACTGAACTGTTTAATTTAGTAATTTAACTCTTGATTCTCATTTTCAACTACAAATTTCTGAAAAAAAATGATATACTATCCAGAGTTTTTGGATACAGACAGACACCAAGATATTTTACACAGGTATCGCCCATCCCTAATTGTTACCATTTTGAATTTTACCTAAAAAGACCCACCGTGACGTCAAGCATAAAATTATAATAGAAGGATGAAATTTTAGATTCCGGTGATTAATGAAAAAGAAAAAAAAGATATTTTTGAAAAAAAAATTAAAAGAATTAAAACGATTTATTAAAAATTATCGAAAAAATAAAATACGATGACGCAAACGTTGCAGATGATAAACCAATGTTGAGAATTGAGACCAAGTCCTTTATTTCAATTCCTATGTCGTATTCAATGACACACACTGCTTATAGACTTATTAGATGGTGTCTTTTAAAGATTTATACCATAAGAAAAATGCTTGTTAATGATATATTAATAATAATTAGTATTAATAATATAATATTATTATTTAATTTGTTGATAATAATTGAAAAATTCGTTTGAGATTATCACAGTTGACAATTCTTTTTTCTGCACTTAAGCATTCTACCATAATACGTACACCTTGCTTTGTTTGTCTTCGGCTCACATGAATTTTATTCATCATTACATACATTCATACATACATACATGCATGCATACATACATGCATGCATACATACATACATACATACATACATACATACATACATACATACATACATACATACATACATACATACATACATATATACATACATACATACATACATACATACATACATACATACATACATACATACATACTTGCATACATACAATCACACATAAATACATACTTAACATCCGTATACACACACATCATTGTGTAATAGGCAAACAAATTTGTCATGGCTTGCACGCCATATAGAATTATATTCACACATACATATTATAATGTATACACACATTTATATATATAGATATATATCTACATATATATAGATATACATACCAGTTGATACAATATGATATACAATCCACACATAGAAACCAAGCGATATTTATTTGTACCAACGTTGTATTCCAACTTCATGTGTATATTTGTTGCACGGTTGGTAATATGAATGTTACGCGTAACTAGAATTATCATTACATGCTATAACATATGTAGTTCGTCATAATTTTCATCATTTTTTTAATATTGATTTGTTGAGGATAAAGTAAAGTAAGGCAGATTGTGTGATTTCATTTGTCTTTCAAAAACGTTTGACAAATGTCTTACATCGTACATTTACGTTTCAATGTTTTAAATTAAAATTTCTCTAATATGTGTGTATATTTTTATTTTCAATTATATCAGAGTACTAAAATTTAGTAACCAAATACTAGGTATTAGTATTACTAATGGCTAATTTGTACTTGTACATTACAAATTACTCATTAACATTAACACAGGCTTACAAGACTTAGACAAACTTAAACCCATTCTTACTTCAGTCCAAACCTTCCATCAAAATCAACAAACAAAACTAGTTTAAAATCTCAGAGGCTATCAACTAACGACTAACCTCACGAAATGACTACCCCTTATGGCACCTACCCAACCAACTACCCTCAAACAAATCCACCACCGTATAATCCGAATCCACCACCTGCCAACCCCTACTACCAGCAGCAGCCCGGTCAGCCCTATTTCGACCCCAACGTAGACGTTGATGCTAACCAGAGAAGCGGGAACAACCAGAGGGGGTATGACAACGGTAATAATAATAATAACAATAATGATAATAACAAAAATAATAATAACAACAACAATAATAATAATAGCAATAATATTATAATCATTATGATTAGAATAGGGTAACTATATTTTATAGGTAAAATATATTTATATACACACATATATGCCTACACATAAATATATATAATAGCAATAATAATAAATAAAGATTATAAAATATAAATAATATTAATATATATATATATAAATAATAATAATAATGAATATACAATAAGTAAATAAGTAATATATTTATAAAACAGCTGCTGGACCGCCCCCGAGTTATCCGCCTGCAGCTGCTGCAGCAGCTGGGATGAGGGCCTACACACCAGAGGGTTTAATGGACGATGATGCTGATAGTAATATGGATAGTTTCAGTGATAAAGCTGTGAGAAGGGCTTTTATAAGAAAGGTTTGTGACGGTAATGGTGGTGGTGATGATGATGGTGTGGGGGTGATGGTGGTGGTGTGGTGATGATGGTGGTGTGGCGATGATGGAGAAGATGATGGTGGTCATGGTCATAAGGATGGTGACGATTGTCATTTTTTGTCTAGCGTTTATTTAGTCTGCTGTTTGTTTTTTAATCATTCTTTCAATCATTCATTGATTTTTTCATTCATTTATTTATTCATTCATTCATTTATTCACTCATCCATCCATCCATCCATTCATTCATTCATCCAGGTCTATCTAATTGTCACGTGTCAACTCCTTTTTACCTTGCTTTTTGTCATTCTTTTCTCCTCACTGTGAGTTTTCTAATAATTATAATAATAATAAATAATAATAATTATAATTATAATAATTAATATATAATAATATTAAATAATAATAAAAATAAATAATAATAATAATAAATAAAAATAATAATAATGATAATTCACCTAGTGATCCTATCAAGAAATTCCTGAGAACTTATTCATGGGTATATTACATAGCTTAGTAAGTATGTGTGTTTGTGTGTGTGTGTGTGTGTGAGTGTGTTTGTTTGTGTGCGTTTGCATATGTGTGCGTGTATGTGCGGGTAAAAATTTCATCATAATAATCATAAATTTAACGCTACTATTGTCGTTATCATATTATTACCACAGTTATCATTGTTGCCATCAGCAGATTTATTATTATTATTATTATTAAGGGTGGCGTGATATCTCAATGGTTAAAGGCGCCTGGTCTTGCTATTGCCACGACTGGGTTCGAATACAAAGAGATCCCTGCCTATCATATGCAATGTGTATGATGCGTGTTTTGCTGGCGTATTAATATACGCTGTGTGTGTGTGTTTGTCGTTGAAACCTCTGATGCAAACGCCAAAGAGAGAGAGAGAGAGTAACCTTTAACCTTTATTATTTAATCTTTATTATTATTTTTATTATTGTTATAACATTAGCGCCATATTTTTTGTGACGTACATTGTTCTGGTGTGTGTTAAGACGGCTAGAAGAAAAGTTCCTTGGAATTTCGTCTGCCTCTCTGTATTTGTATGTATGTCTGTTTGCTTGTGCGTTCGTTTGTTTGTTTGTTTGTATGTTTGTTTGTTTGCATGTGTGGTTGTTTGTATGTGTGTATGTATGTTTGTATGTGTGTATGTATGTTTGTATATTAGTGTTTTTTTTGTTTGTATGTTTGTATGTATGTGTGGTTGTTTGTATGTGTATATGTATGTTTGTATATTAGGGCTTTTTATTTGTTTGTTTGTATGTTTGTAATTATGTGTGTTGTATAGTGTGCTTGTTTGTGTGTATGTGTATGTATGTATGTATGTTTTTGTGTTTGTGTTTGTATGTGTTTGTATGTTTTTGACTTTATTTGTTTGTCTCTAATTGTATATGTATATATGACAAAAATACTAATCCAAACAATTTCTTTCAAATCTCAACATACAGACTGCTGCCTTTACGTACATGGTTGCTACGATATCAGGGTGGGTTCTTGTTGCTATGTCTGATTTTCTTCTTGTCCTTGTTATTCTTCTTGTTCTTTTTCTTCTTTTTCTTCTTCTCCTTCTTCTTCTTCTTCTCCTTCTTCTCCTTCTTCTTCTTCTTCTTCTTCTTTTTCTTTTTATTATTATTATTGTTATTATTATTATTATTATCTACTTATCTTGTTAGCCTAGGCTCAAAAGATCAGCAGATGGTGTGTGTGTTGTATTGATTGTTTATTACGTCCCTAATACGTATGTGTTTCTTTCTTTCCACACTCAGAAGTAGTACCGCCGGTACCGGTTTTAAATACGGATACCGCGATATACCGCGCCGTATTTACTGTCAATGCTACAGCACTACTATCACTAAAACTAGTAATAGTAGTAGTAGCAGTAGTAGTAGTAGTAGTAGTAGTAGTAGTAGTAGTAGTAGTAGTAGTAGTAGTAGTAAAATACTAGTATTTTTTACAAAACCAGATTCTATGAGACATACATCGTCGTTATAGCCCTGGCCATCACAGTTGTCGTCTGTGTCG